AAAGTAGTTCCTTTTTGGGGTTTAGGGTTTAGGGTTTAGGGTTTAGGGTATAGTGTTTAGGGTTGAGGGTTTAGGGTTTAGGGTTTAGATTCTATAATATATGAACCCCAAAAAGGAACTACTTTAGGGGCCTATGGGCAGAGCCTGACCAGGAAATTACCTGACTTCGCGAGAAGCTCGGGCTTCTGGCCCAGGCTGCGTGTTGGCGGAGAAACCACAAGTTCTTGCTGCCGTCGAGGATTTAGGGTTTAGGCTTTAGGGGTTTAGGGTTTAGGGTTTAGGGATTTAGGGGTTTAGGGTTGTCGAGGATTTAGGGTTTGGGGGTTTAGGGAGGAATGGGTAATGAGCGAGTTTCATTTCTGCCAGTCCCGGCGTGAGGAGGACCCGTCCGCTCAGCGTTTGTGCGTCCGCATCTGCCAGCAGACACTGTCGGTTGCGATCGCCAACTGCGTTGCTTTGCCGCTACTCCCCAAGATACTCAGCGTTACTTTTGTATTTTGGGTTCCTGAACCCTGAACTCAGACCCTACACGCTATACTACCCTATGTCTTGCTTCTGACAGAAGTTTTCGAAGCCGTCGTCAAGGCCCCAACCTAAATCCAAAACCATGGAGACCCCTCCAAACTTCCCCAGCGAGGTTAGAGGAGCCCGAAGCGGAAAAAGGCGAGGACCTGAGTGGCTGTGGGGTAGTTGAAGCGACGACTGAAACCTACAAAATCACAGGGATTCAGGCTGTTGGTCGAGGGAGTCGGGTTTAGGAGTTGGTAGGGTTTAGGGCTTAGGGTTTAGGGTTTAGGGCTTCGGGTTTAGGGTTTAGGGGTCACATAGAGGTGCCGGGTTCTGGGTTTAGGCATTAGGGGTGTAAGGTTTAGGAGCTTGGTGTTGAGGGCTTATGTTACGGCCATCCCGCGCAATGGGATACTGGGCTCTCTGTGAAGGCAACATCAAGCTGCGAGCGCACGCCATGCACAGCATCCTAAGCTCCTAAACCCCAAACCACCTAAACCCTAAACCCCAAACCCTCAACCCTAATTGACCTTGTTGCCAACACTCCGAGGCGGGGGCCCTTATGATCTTGAGTGCAGTTACTTGTACTAACGGTTTCAGATTTCCACCACTACAGGTGAAATAAAGGTTCGCTTTACGGAGTCCCGTGAAGATGTTGCTATGACGATTTGGGGACCTTGGACATTCCTCCAGTACTTTGCTGGCTCGTCTTCGCCTGCATCCTGATCATGACCACCTTTATGTGCGTAGACTTGGATGCCTGTGTGGTGGCCGTGCCAGAAGAATCGCACAACGAGATCAGCACCTGGACTGACACGACTTTAATGAAATGGTATCACCCTGCTCTGTGTTCAGACCACCGAATCCTGAACTAAGGTTATGTGAAAAAAACAGATGCCTCAAGCAGCAGCGATTCAGATCGATGTGGAGCGGCTGTGGGCAAGGCCGTGCAAGACCAACTTGCTTGGTTGATGTGTGGAGTTGGGGCAGTTGTCGCCGAAGGCGCCCAGAAGAAACTTCCCCAAAGTCGGCTGAGTCAGGCTGTATTTTCATTCTGGAGCCACTCCTTTGTCCACCCTTAAGGACGACAAAGCTTCACTGCTGGGCATGTTATCACTGGACGTAGAGACTGACTGGCTACGTAGCTTGTACAAGAGGTTATACGCTAACCACTCACAGGGGTAGTTCTCTAAACTGGGGTCCTCTTTTGGGTCTCTAAACTGGGGTCCTCTTTTGGTTCTCTAAACTGGGGTCCTCTTTTGGGTCCCCAATCGATAGCACGGCACTCTTATTGAAACGGACTCGAGAACTACCCATATCATACCTCTACTCACGACCTGCTTGCCAAGTCCCGTCTATTGTCATCATCAAGGCCCCTATATAGAACCCTTAGAGTATCCCTTTCACGGAACCCTTGAAAGGAACCTTATTGTAATCATAATCAGAAACTCCCAAGCCCAATACCAGAGACAAATCCTAAACCATAAACCCTTAACCCTAAACCCTAAACCCTAAACCATAAGCCTAAATCCTAAACCCTAAACCATAAGCCTAAATCCTAAACCATAAACCAAAAACCACAACCCAGACATCCTTGAAGGTCCCTTCTAGCACCCTGAAAGAGCAGTCTTGTTTAATAAGCTGCAAAGAGATTTTAAGGCACATGCGACACCGCACAGACAGCTTTACACCCTAAGCCTAGAGCCGAAACCTCAGGGCTAAGATCCTTCCAACAACTCTTTTAGGGTTTAGGGTTTAGGGTTTAGGGTATTGGGTTTAGGGTTTAGGGTTTCTAAGCAGAACCCTACGCCCTAAACTGCTTCCGAAACTCTTCTAGATCCGTGATAACAACCCTTGTAGATCCTTCCCGGAATTCCAGACCTCATTCCTAAACCCTCTACACCCTAAACCCTAAACCCTCATTCCTAAACCCCCTAAAGCCTAAACCCTCGTTCCTAAACCCCCTAAGCCCTAAACCCTAAACCCTCAGTCCTAAACCCGTGAACCGCGGAAGCCTTGGTGAGGAGCTGGCTCTCACCCCGCCACTCCAGACTTCGGCAGCCTCCAAGGCTATTGGCTTAGGGCTTTTTAGGGGGTTTAGGGTTTGGTTTAGAGCTTTTTAGCGGTTTAAGGGTTTAGGGTTTAGGGGTTATAGGGTTTAGGGTTTGGGTTTGGGGGTTTAGGGTTTAGGGGTTTAGCGGTTTAGGGGCCTTGGGGACTTGGTTCAGGGGTTAAGGGGTTTAGGGTTGAGGGTTTAGGGGTTAGGGCTCAAGGAGTTTGAAGGGCTTAAGGAGTTCGTAGTATAGGGTTTATTGGGTTTAACGGGTGGGCTTAGGGGTCAAGAGTTGAAGGGTTTCGGGTGTCGGGAGGTTTTAGGGTTTTGGGTTTAGGGTTTGGGGGTGGAGGTTTTAGGGTTTAGGCTTTGGGGTGGAGGTTTTAGGGTTCAGGGTTTGGGGTTGAGGTTTTAGGGCGTAGGGTTGAGGTTTTGGGGTTTAGTGTTAACGGGTAGGGTTGAGGGTTTAGGGTTTAGGGTTTAGGGTTGAGGGTTTATGGGGCTTACACCCTCACTGGCTGAAGCCCTAAGTGTATGTACCGATACACATTAGACTCCACACTTTTCGTGGTGTCATCCAAACCTTAAGCCGTAAACCCTAAAACCCAAAACCCCAAGCCCTAAAAACCCTAAACCCAAAGCATCCAGGGCCCATCCTGGACGAGGAGACTGAGGACGTACACACAACAGCCAGCGTGTCAGTCTGAGGCTGCAGATACGATGTTTAAGGTAGGGGCCTAAATAATTACCAATACTATTTTGGGGGTTCCTTATTATAATTATAGTATCAAGGGCTTCAAGACCCTACCCTAGTTATTAAGGCCCCTATATTATGGGGTTTCGGTTTTCACACCCTAGGATGTTGGAGTCTTCTTCTTCTGGATTGTTATAATTATAGTATAATCGGCCACAAAATCTTTATTCTAATTATTAAGGCCCCCCCTAGTAAGCTTTGGGGTTTAGGATGGTTTAGTCATCTAGGGATATTTACGGTTAAGGGCACCCAGGGCATTTTGGGGTTAGAGCCTTTTTGGGGTTTATAGGGTTTAGGGCATGTAGGGGTTAGGGTAAAGAGGGCTTAAGGCTTAAGGTTTATGACATTTATTGGTTCGGGTGTTTGGGGGTCTAGGGTATTTCGGTATAACCATCGTAATCAGGAAGGCAAAGCGGGTCTTGGCAAGAGGGCCTTTTGTCGGGGGCTCGGGGTGGTCGCCAGGGCAGCATGTTTAATAAACCCTAAACCCTAAACCCTAAACCCTAAACCCTAAACCCTAAACCCTAAACCCTAAACCCCATCACATCTAAGACCTCCAAATAGCCCCGCTATTTTAGCAGCCGCCTTAGGCTTCGCAATCATATGGGACTTTCCGAAAATGGGGGGTACCTTGTTTTGATCCAATGTAGGGGCCTTAATAATCAGAATAGGTTTTTGGGGTATATGGGACTTTCCGAAAATGGGGGGTACCTTATTTTGGGGTCCTTATAATAAGGATCCTATTATTTAGGGTGCTATATTAGGGTCCCCTATTTTCGGAAACCCCCATATGAGCAGCTAATACAGGGGCCTTTGTGACTAGGATAGGATTTTTGTTTGGGGTTTGGTCTATAGTGTAGCTGGGTTTAGGGTTTAGGCTTTAGGGTTTAGGGTTTAGGGTTTGGTATATAGTGTAGCTGTACAGGGGCCAGAATTATCGGGGAAAGGAAGCCATGAAGGTAATTAGTGAATCCAAGCCAGTGGGAGAAGCTGCTCACTCATGGCCTCGTTATCGAACCGGCGTGCCCATTCTCGGATATTCTCCCCATGGCATTGGGCGCAGCAGGAGACGTGCCACTCAGGCGGCGGCGCACTGGGAGGCCCTCGAAGCACATTGTAACGTCCCAGACTATGATTTGTTCACAGTGACCTTTTGCGAGCCCATTCAAGCAGCTTCATTTTGACGCTCGCTGCGCAGCGCGGTGCCAATTGTGTGGTCTTTGCGCACACGCGCAACATGGAATGGGTCAAGCTCGTACCAGGAGATCCGCGGCCCGGAGGTGACGAGGGCCTCCTTCATTGGTATCACGAAGTTGCAGACGTACAAGAACCGTTCAATGAAGCTAAAGCACCGAACAGCAAACTCTACACATCCCTACAGTGCTGTTATTAATATTGTTGTTGTCAGTTACTGCTAGTTAATGTTCATTCCTAATATCTATCATTGTTACAGTGATTAGTGTTGTTACTCTTACGGTTATCCCGGTGGTCATTGTCGTTGTCATTACCATGATTGTTAACACCTTTGTCATCATGACTTGTATTATGCTAAACCTCAACCCGAAGCTCTAAAGGGAGGGCCTATTTTGGGGGTCTTTTTTTTGTTTGGGTTTTTTTTCGTGCTTTTGCTTTGTTGGAAATGGCCATGGCGGTCATAATGACGGCAGCCAGGACGACCTTGTGCCACGCCCGCTTGGCACTCCGTGTTTTTTGCACGACCCGGCCCAAGATCAAGAGGTCCATTATTGGTTCCGTGCCCTGGCCAACTCCGGTGGCGACCCGCGCCTGTGGCAGCACATGCCTTTGTACAGCCAGTACATTCGTGAGCACACCTTGGAAGGAGGCGCTCCAAAGCATCCGCTCTCAGAGAGGGCTGGAAATCACCGTAGAGCAAGCCTCCAAGCTGCCATGTCCGCTAGGCTACACAACTCTTCTGTGGCGTGCGAATTTCTTCACACTGCCTGCAATTTTTGCTTTCGACTTGTTTCAGGCCTGCTTGGCCTCGTGCCAGCACAAAGACCTTGCGGTCGCACTTTGGGCGGACAAATCACACAAACACAGGACCAGAGCCCGATGGTGGGCATGCCCCACGGGTGATCCAAATGCCGGCAAGTCCCCTACCTGCTCTTTCGTCATGGATGCTTTCGAGCAGTTCGCCAAGCGGCAAGATTGCCTTCACCCCCAGCCGCACTGGATCGGTGTTGGCAATAACAATCGCATCCAGAACCGGCTTCGTGCTTTGGATGGATCTCTCCCGTTGCAAGGTCCTGAGTCCAAGCCCATTTTGGACCCCGCATTCCCCAGCAAGAAGACAGTGGACACAGGTAAGTTTCTGAACCTGACCCGTTG